CATATCATATCTGTCTCCTAACATATCATATCTGTCTCCTAACATATCATATCTGTCTCCTAACATATCATATCATATCTGTCTCCTAACTGAGGGAAAGAAAGTGAAAATAATCGACGTCTGAAGGAAATCAGTACAAAACTAACCAACAAGTTTCAGGTTTTAAAAACTCGCTGAAGTTTCGATCGTGTTGTAAATAAAGATGGCCGACGCACCTCTGCTTCCTCCCATTGTACTAAAATGAAGCTAGAATATCCTGGACACCGGCGCCGCCACCTATTTCTAAAACATGTGATTCAGAGCAAAACAACAAGGAGACTTTGAACCTAATGATTTCAAGAGCAAAGGAACTACACATCCCATGAACCATTGGGTTTTATCCTTTCTAACGACTCCCGGCTGCTTCTAATGACACGTGAGCGGTCGTTGGCGCAGCACTGACGAAACGTAAGTATGTGATCGTCTGTGACGTGATCGGAAACAACGTTTCGTGGCTTGAAATCACTTCGAGGTTCGACTCCATTTTGATTCAGATGTTGTTATTGTGGTTCTTGAGACGAGATGTCGTGTTTGCTTTGACCAATCACGAGCCACAGCAACGCGGCACGGCCACGTAAAGTCAAGTGCCCGGATGTTCCTTTGGGAAAATAAAAGATGTCCAGGTGTTGAACAGGACGTGTGATTGTTCGTCTTCATTTATGTTTGAAAAAAGAAAAGAGAAAGAAAAAAGAAACAGCAACGTTCATTATTTTCACATTTTATTTATGAAAAAATATATTTCTTGATTCTGACATTAGGCACATTAACATAGACATATATACAATTCTCTTTCATAAATACACAATTATTTACAAAGGACAAAATTAAATAGGAAAACTATGTTCTGGACGATATGTACACATTGCATTGTTCTTAAATTAACAAAGATAGTACAAAGACACGACTACACAGGAAAAACACGTATTTTTGGTATCAGATGGATTCGGTAAAAAAGACGGAATAAAAAGTCTGCGAAGTCCTTTTTCAAAAAATGTAGGAACAAGACTCGAAGACGTGAGTGACTCAAAATATCCTCTTTGAAAAATAAATCTCTCAACTGGATAAAAAACAGAAACACAAACCTAAAACCCGTGAAGTGACTCCAGCTGAACTCTTCAGGTTTGAATTGTTCGATTATCTGCTCACGAGGTGGAAATGAAGGAAACAGCTGATTGTGCTGATTCACCTGAAACCTCGTTTAGACTCAGATTACAATCTGGGACTCAGGATTAAGATTTAAAAAGATGTTACAGGTTGAAGAAGACGGTTCACGTGGATCTGAATATGATTCTGAGCTTTTAAAGACAGTTTGAACATGAGATCCAATAAAACCTTCTCCGGTTTTCAGAAGAAACAAATTCTATTTGTTGTTTGAATGTTTCACCTGAAGAGGCACTTTCAGAGTTTGTGGTTTGGACGCTGATTGTAAGGCTGATGTTCTTCCTCTTCACAATAAGATGCTTCACCTCCAAAGAAAACAAGAAATACAAAAAATGGACGGTTGTGACAGAAATTCCTCAGTTCGTCTTTCAGATCGAATAAAAGAGGAAAAGTTCAGGTTTTTTGACCTGAAACTAAAACGTTCGATTGTCCATCGGGTCCGTCGACCGATTTGATTGACATCTTATTGTGAAATTGTACAGGAGACGGTTGCCGTGGTGATTAGGAAGCATAGGTAAGGCACCGGTCTTTCTGATTGGTGGAAAAATCCAACTCTTGACATGTCATTCATATTTGATCCAAAGGAAATTGTAGAGAAATAAAAATTATATTAAGATTTAATGTATAAAAAAGATAAAAAAAGTGCAAATGATGCTGGACATTCAGTCTTCTCCTCTTTTCTCTCCTCCTCCGCTGCTCTTTCTTTCTTTCTTTTCCAAAACTGTCGGTATCAAAGTGGGAAAGATTCTTTGAAAAGCCTTTTCTTTTTGTGTCTCACTGAGCAGGGTAATAAATATTAAATTAAAAAGTGAGACCCGCTGGGTGAACTGTCGTGGACAGAGAATGCTTCAGGTCTTCAGCATCAGAGTCTGTCTGAGGTCAAACCTGCGGACGACACAGAGGAACAGCGGTTACTCGTCAGTGTGAATCCCGAGGTGGTTCATGAACAGTTACTAAAATCAATCAGCTTCTTTAAACATTCAAAGTTTTAGATTTGGCAACTGTGACTTCAAACTGAAGTTCATTAAAAGATCTTCTTAGAGGAAGCTTGAGGTCATTTCGATTTGTTGCTTCACAATAAAATGAAGAAATAAACATTCTTCACTCGTCGGTCGCTCGTTGTTTCTGACGAGCTCATTGGTTTAGAAGAGAACATTTTGTGGGTGTGTCCTCACCTCAGTAGCAAACACACACTGCTCCATCTGCTCTGGAATGATGAACACTGGGTGATACACACTGTCCTTTGCAAAAGTGAGGGAGGGCATGATGATGGACGAGTCGCACTTCTTACTGTTGGAGAGAGAGAGAGAGAGAGAGAAAGTTAGTTCAGTGTCAACAACGAAGACAGAAAGACAAGCTGCGACTTGAAGAGACGGGAAACCACGAGGGACAGAAACAGAGACAAACACAGAAAGACATCGTAGTATGGACAGGTTCTTACAGGTCGAACTTGTTCTTGCTGAGACGCTGCTCCTCATTCGCCAGGTTACAGTCCGCCATCTTGTTTTTAAACATGGCCATGTTGTCGCTGCCCTTCTCCACCAGCGCTGCGTCCTTATTGGATACTTTGATATGTCCTCCGGGGATGAGGAAGGCCTCCTTCTCCCTCAGGCTGCCCAGCGGTGCTCCAGGTAAGCTCCCATTATTAGGTCCGACCCCACCGATCACTGCGTTGCGGTTGTTTACTGCCTCCAGGTCGTTCTTCACCGATCTGGAAATGGCCGCCAGCTCCCTGCCACGACGTAGCTGTCGCAGAATGTGGACGGCAGCACACAGCAGCAGAGCTAGCGTCACCAGGCCGAGGGTGACCGCGGCAACAAGCGCAGGAGAGGAATCGCTGTTGACGGTTGGCTTCGTGGTGGGTGTGGTCTTCACAGAGTACTCGCACCGGGCGCCCATGAAGCCATGCGGACACTGGCACACCGGGCCCGAGAAGTGGGTGTAACACGTGCCACCGTTGTCGCAGGGGAAATGGTCACAGGGGCTGGAGCGCATGGAGCAGTCCTTACTGGTGAAGCCGAGCGTGCACGTGCAGGTGAAGTCATTGATGCCATCCACGCAGGTGCCAGCGTTGCGGCAGGGGTTGCTGGCGCAGTCGTCGATGTTGATTTCGCAGCGAGATCCTGTGAAGCCTGGACGACAGCGGCACATGACGCGGTGACCGACGTCGAGACACTGAGCGCCTGCAGAGAGACGGGAAGTATAACGTTAATATTATCGTACAGAAAATACAGATTTGGGTTGAAGGTGGAGACAAAACGGATGGAAGCTGCTGCTGCTGCGTGAATATGTTAATGAGAAAAGGCTAAAAACGTTCCACCCAGAGCGGAGCCCTGAGGGACGCCAACGTGTCTGCACAGATTTATCTCGATTCTCTTACATGTCGAGAAATAATCATCTTGAAAAGAAAGATCTGACAAAGATTTGAAGAGAGTTATTTCTGGATGTGCGGGGACGGCGGCTGATGCTGATGAACGAACGAGAAATAACTCAATCGCCAACACGTTTGAATTCTCGGCGGATAAAACGCAGACAGAGTTCATGTGGAAGGAGGCTCGGCAGAGGGACAACTTGTTTATTACAACGTCTCCTCGCAACAGATGCAGCTGTTGCATAAACATGCGTGTGATTAGAAACCAGGAAGTCACATGACCTGCCTGGACAGCAGCGTTTAATAACTGAACACGATGAATGAGAAAGAGCGTCAGCGACTCTTTCTCTGACGATCAATCTGGAGCACAAACACCGACCCAGGTCCATATTTGTTGGTTGTGAGCAGGAGCCGAGCAACAAACAGCGATGAGTTCTCTCATGAGTTAAAACAGATTCCAGATAAGCAGGCGGCAATTTCTCCACAGTAATGAGGACCTGAGGGAGGACTGTCGGCCGAACTGGGATTCTCAGAGACTTCAAGATGAAGCGATATCTTTTTATTTTGCAATGAAAGTTTTGAAACTGGAGCCTCGTGATCCTGACTATTTGTCTGCTCTTGTTTGAAAAGACGGGACGTCTGAAAACGACGGAGGAAACTGAACAAACCCTGAGAATGAGTCATCTCTCTGCTGAACAACATTTCTAACTCAGTGGCATCAAAACATTCTTAAGCAGCTTTTAATCCATTTTCACCACAAATCATTAACAGTTTCCTGTTGGGCCTTTTTGTAAACCACCCGTCACCTTCCTGGCAGCGTTCCCTTCATTTCTCACTGCTGGGAAAACTTGCAGAGACACGACAGTTGCTGCAGAAATAATCGCAATGTACATCTGACCTGCGCTGGAAACACAACTGACAAACTGAGAAGAAACTCGTGTTGACTTGATGGATTGTCTGTTATTTTGCAATCAGAGACAAAAAATACAGGCGTCTCTGACAGAGCCTGATGGTAAATGTTCAGCACTGATGCAAACACCGTGTAATTCAAAACAAACGGGTTCAATGTGCGCAACACAAGGCCGAGACTCAGTTCAGCAGCACAATCACACGGATCTTGTAAAACTCAGAGACCGGTTCCACATTTTCAGAGAGAAACGAGCCGTGCACCAGCACCGACTCCTCCATCCGACTGAGAGCAGCTGTCAGAGCTGCATTCCTGCCGAGACGCAGCAGAACGCAACCAGGTAAAAATAAACAGAGAGAGGGAGGGCGCCGAGAAAACAGGTTTACAACCCAACATATCTGTGTTATCTGTGTGGGAGCTGATGAGACACGTTCAGAGGCTCAACACAGGAATCAAACATCAGGAGTCTGCGTTCAGTCAAATCAGTGTGACAGAGGAAGCAGCTGATCAAACATCTGTCCTCACTCAGTTCAACCTGAACTTGTGGCGTCGCAGGAAGGTTCCGGGGAAAAATCCTTCTTCTATCACGTCAGAAACTCTGGCTCACGGTTTGTGTAGAAACGAGATGAATACGGGACAAAGCTCCGACCGACACCTCGGGCACTTCTGCTCCATGTTTCACTTCACTCTAAACAAATTAATCACATCCATACAGTTCCCAGGAGGAGGGCAGATCCAAAGATATGGACGTGTCTCAGAGTTTGAGCCAATAAAGACAAATATTCTGGATCAGACTTCTTCTACAGGTTTAGAGACACGAGCCTGATTAACAGATTAGACTTCAAATAACTCGCAGCTTCTCAAAAGCAGAATCATAAAGTCCGACTTATGAACGTTCACCTGAATCTCTTGTTACGATTCAAACCAGAAATCAGTGATTTCACTCGACATTTAAAATCCCAGAGAAGGAAACGGCAGAGAGTGTCCTGTGTTCCTGGAACTATTGTCTCTGGAGACAATGATGGTTTGGCTGTAAAACAACTGCAGTGAATAAACTGTTGGTTCGTACCATTAGCGCAGGGGTTGCTGCTGCATCTATCGATTCTCTTCTCACAGTTGGAGCCGGTGTAGCCGGCAGGGCAGCGGCAGCTGTAGCCACCGGCAACGTTCTCCACGCAGGTCCCTCCGTTAAAGCACGGCCCGTCTGCGCACGTCATGGCGCTGATCTCACAGTTCTTCCCGTAGAAGCCCTGAGGGCACGCGCACGAATAATCGTTCTCCAAATCCTGAGGTAGAGGTGGGAGGAGAAGACAATGTCGTCATGCTCTCTGATAAAACTTCTAGATCATTCATCTCAGTGGGAGCACGTGTGATGACACCGTGTGTCAGATCCGCCGCAGCGACTTACTTTGCAGCTGCCGCCGTTTTTGCAGGGATTGCTGTCGCACTCGTTGGTCTCGATCTCGCAGTTTTTGCCGGTGAAGCCGGGGCGGCAGGCGCAGGTGTAGCTGCCCTGACCCGTGTTGGTGCACGAGGCGTCGTTCTGACACGGCCTGTGGTTGGTGCAGTAGTTCAGGTCTGTGGAGAGGAGGAGCAACGGGTTCGGTTAATGAATCGACTCTGGGATCATTGAAATCTGCATTTTCTGGTGAAGTCAGTGGATCAGAGGCTGAGACGCCCCTGCTCAGATGTGTTCTTCAGTTAACCGGCTGAAGACAAAAAAGACCGTACAGAGAAAAGAGAAGGGGACCAAGGACAGAGCCCTGGGGGACACCATGGGACATGTGAGGGGAGGGGGGGACCAAGAGGTTTGACGGTTATTTGATATTTCGCAGATTTTGTGGGCAAATGTTTTCTGGTTGTGTCTCTGATTTGCTCGTATTCAGACGATGATCAACTTTAAAACCTGATGAAACCACAAGTTCACACAATCTAGAAATCTGACGTCAGTGTTAACGACGTTAAAAAAGAGTCCTACGATATTTTTAACTTGTTGATTGTCAGGAATCATTTGCTGCTCTTTCACTCGTAATACTTGAAATGAACAAACACTGAAAAGCTATTAACGCAACTGATTGTTGTGTGTGTGCAAATTATTTATTCGCAGAAAATTGGAACAGTTCATCGAATTTGAGAATCAACTTACGGAGATTTGAAACTTGAAATATTCGGTCCATCAAAGTCGTCTGCGATTTCTGTTAAAGGTGGAATTATCGATGTTGAACGCACGAACGTTTGAAGTTTTTTTTATCTGCGCAGGATTTTCGCTTTTACAAACTGATTCTAAAAACAACAAAACATCTAAAAGTAGACAAACATCTGTGTGAACGGACGACAGCAGGTGGTCTGAGGGTGAAGGTGTGAATGAGCCACATGTCGCAGTGTGTCGACCTGTCACTAGGGGGCGTGTTTGAGGCAGAACCCACCTTGGTCACAGTACAGGCCCCCCCAGCCTTCCTTGCAGTTGCACTGCCACGGCTGTTGGCAGGTCCCGTGGAGGCAGCCCGGGTGTCGGACGCACTCATCGCAGCGCTCGCCCTGCCAGCCCTGCCGGCACACACACTCCCCGGGAGACTCGCACAAACCGTTCGTACTGCACCCCGCCGCACAGATGGCTGATGGGAGGAGAAGAGGGAGGGAGGTTGAAGAAAGAGAGGGAAAGGGAGAAAGGGGGAGGAAGAAGGAGAGAATATTACTATGAGTGTATGTGTCTCATGTTCGAATCACAAAACAACTCTCCTCCCCTCGCAGGGGCCTCACACACACACACACACAC